TGAGATTGATTTCAGGTTTATTTTTAAAGTCTCAGCATAGTCAAAGCAGATTTTGCAAATTTGAAAAGTAGATAAATTCTCGCCAAAAGGTCCCAAACGGCAGCCAGTCATACTTTGAGGCAGATTATGGCCCATTTTAATACTTTTCGTTAAAACCCCATTGCACACAGTTAGTGTAAGAGATATTGGAGCGTTGTCACTTAGCAAAACTAATACCCTGAGGCCCGTTCCAGTAAAATTCGTAGGTACAAAATTATGCGGAACTTCCATAGATACCATAGCTTACCATGGCAACTACGCATGATTTTGTACTTACGAATTTTATTGGAATGGGCCCTTGTAGCATTGTTGTTTGTGTGAGAGACAGGAATGCGGTTCTTATGGGTGGAAATTGTCATGCGTGCTCTCTGTTTTTAATTTTTATAATGGGAGCAAAAATTGGGTGCGAACTACCCGGGTGCGAAATTTCCGGATGGCAGTTTTCCTGGATGTGAATCGTCCTGGTGTGAAGTATCCGGATGTGAAATGTCTCGGGTGGAAGTTTTCCTAAGGTGGAATTTGTCCTGGGTGCAAAGTGCCCGGGTGCGAAATGTCGCGGTGGGAAATTGACCTAGGTGGAATTTGTCCTGGGTGCAAAGTGCCCGGGTGCGAAATGTCTCGGGTGGAAGTTGTCCTGATGTGAATAGTCCTGGTGCGAAATGTCCTGATGGCAATTGGCTGGGCGGGAAGTGTCCGGGCGGGAATTATCTGGGTGCGTAATGCCCTACTACCCAATTCTTGATGAATTTTGAAGAAACTTGGCGTGAGTGTTCGGAATCACCCAAGGATGAACCTTATTGAAATTCCGAAAAATCGAAAAATATTTAGTATAAATTATTGCCATTGTTCTTGAAAACGCGTCCAATTTGCAGCACGTAAACACTCTAGAAGACACAATTATTGACAGATTTTGACGAAACTTGGTGTTAGTGCATGTAATCACCCAAGGATCAACCCTATCGAATATAAAAAAAATCGAAAACTATTTAGTTTGAGTTATTGCCCTTGTTCTTAAAAAAGGAGTTCAAGTTTAGATGGATTTTGATGAAACTTGTTAATATTATTCAGTATCGCCTCATAAAGTTCAAAAGAAGTGTATGACTGAAGGTTGAATATATCAAACTGGTGATTGTTAATGTACTGTCAAATATTTTTATTCAAAATCAAAGCTGCCAGTGAGCGTATATAACCTTGCCTGGCAAGCTATCTTTCTTACTTGAAGATGATTCGAATAAAGAGCACCTAATCGCTAAGCAGACGACAATCAAACACGCTACCGACTGAATTATTTCACTGTCGCAAAAGACAATGTTCTCAACCCAGCATAGTGTGCGAATGGACGAGGTACTGTCTCCGATTCGGTTTACGGTTCGTCTGCCTGATTATCTATCCGCACCGTACACCAGACCGGACAACGTATACCTCGTCTAGTCACGCTTTAAAGACCACGGTTCGTCTTTTTTCTGGGGTTAATTTGGGTCTTGAATATATGTAAATAGTCTTCAATAGTACTAGAAATGTACAAAAATCACATAATTCGTTCAAAACATCTCAAACTATGGATATTTCTTTCTTTTTCTATAGATGTCTTTTCTATATATCGCAGAGTCTCAAAAAGACCAGTCGTCATTGGAGACGATGAGAGTGATGACGTCTACACATTTTAGTCAAGAAAGTAAAAGATTTTAGTGTTGTACTCATTTGATTGGCCAAATCTTACAATTGATTTAAAATCAGCCAATCACATTTTAAATCATATTTTTATCAGCCAATTAGAAAACTATTTAGTCAAATTTAAATCAGCCAATCACATTAAATGTATTTAATCAAATTTAAATCAGCCATTCAGAATGAAGTTTTCATTTAAAGTTTTATCAGCCAATCAAAATAATGTATTTTTGAAATGTAGATTTGATCAGCGTATCAGATTAATGTATTTTTTTGAAAATCGGGGTTTTATCTAAATAGGTATTTGAAAAACAGGATATATTCCATTTGGTCGAGGTTTCCTTCTTTTATGAAATATTGGCCGAGCGTAAATTACGTAAGAGGACAGCTGTAGTTTTAATCTAACCTCTTCACACCTTCAGATCATGTAATTCTCAGATTCGGGGGCTCCTTCAGATCTTAAACTAATTCACGGCCCAGGTTGTATTGATTTATTGATATATATTTGAATAGAGGTATTCAGAATACAACATAACCTCCCTTGGACTGGAAAAATTTCTACTAGTTACTATAAATAGACTTGACGTAACGAGGTTATGTCATTTCTTACAAATATTTGCCAGTATCTATGCTTAAATTAGCAACGTATGTACTAAAACAAACAAAAAAGAAATGAAAAAAGGAAGACAATCAACGACATACTTCACTTTTTATATTGAAATACAAACTTTGATTTTCACCAAGGTGATAATTCAAGATATTTAAATTAAAGACATTTTTTCGACGTTCTGTACAAGATAGAGACGGGTCATATGGATTTAAAAAGTTTTTGATTAAAAATTCGTTGAATTAGCACCTTAGTAGAAATTAAAGTTTTTATTTCAAACTAAAAAGTGAAATATGTCGTATGTGAGCCACGGTAAATAACATGATAAAATAACAGATTTGAAGAAATACTATGATGTAAGAGAATAATATCTTTCTATTTTATTTTCTTATTTTCTTATTTTCTTAATGAGGTGAAATGGTAGTTTTACATTCCAGATACAGAACACTAGGATATAAAACACTATTTCATTTCATTTATCAATAAGATACATAACAGTAGGATATAAAACACTATTTCATTTCATTTATCAATAAGATACAGAACAGTAGGATATAAAACTCTATTTCATTTCATTAGTCCAATAAGATACAGAACAGTAGGATATAAAACTCTATTTCATTTCATTAGTCCAATAAGATACAGAAAAGTAGGATGTAAAACTCCATTTCATTTCAATAGTCCAATAAGATACAGAACAGTAGGATATAAAACTCCATTTCATTTCAATAGTCCAATAAAGTACAGAACAGTAGGATATAATGCTCCATTTCATTTCAATAGTCCAATAAGATACAGAACAGTAGGATATAAAACACTATTTCATTTCATTAGTCCAATAAGATACAGAACAGTAGGATATAAAACTCTATTTCAATTCATCACCCAATAAGAACAGTAGGATATGAAACTCCATTTCATTTCAATAGTCCAATAAGATACAGAACAGTTGGATATAAAACTCTATTTCATTTCATAAGTCCAATAAGATACAGAACAGTAGGATATAAAACTATATTTCATTTCAATAGTCCAATAAGATACAGAACAGTAGGATATAAAACTCTATTTCATTTCATTAGTCCAATAAGATACAGAACAGTAGGATATAAAACTCCATTTCATTTCATTGGTCCAATAAGATACAGAACAGTAGGATATAAAACTATATTTCATTTCAATAGTCCAATAAGATACAGAACAGTAGGATATAAAACTATATTTCATTTCATTAGTCCAATAAGATACAGAACAGTAGGATATAAAACTATATTTCATTTCAATAGTCCAATAAGATACAGAACAGTAGGATATAAAACTATATTTCATTTCATTAGTCCAATAAGATACAGAACAGTAGGATATAAAACTATATTTCATTTCAATAGTCCAATAAGATACAGAACAGTAGGATATAAAACTCTATTCCATTTCATTAGTCCAATAAGATATAGAACAGTAGGATATAAAACTCTATTCCATTTCATTAGTTCAATAAGATACAGAACAGTAGGATATAAATTCCATTTCATTTCATTAGTCAAACACTATTGATTGCATAGACCAATATAAACACTATGTTATGAAACATTGAAACTCCATTTTTCCTCTTATGTTGCTTAATTTCAGGCACGACTGGACGAAGTTGCTAAAGTAGGGTTACCCATCTGGATCACTGAGTTGGATATTGATGAAGCTGATGAACAGAAGAAAGCTCAGAAATACGAGGATGTGATGAGGTTATATTTCAGCCACCCAGCTGTACACGGTATCATGCTGTGGGGTTATTGGGACGGTCGGCATTGGAACCCAAGAGCTGCCATCTGTAATGGGGATAGTGTAAAGGTAAGATAAATAAGACGATATCATTAACTCTAGAATATTTATTATTTTCAACGTTTCAATAGGGTTCTCACACCGTCATCAGGAATATAATGATACTTCTTGAATATTTATGTTAGTGTTAGACCTTACTGTAGTGGTTACGTACAAAGCTAATAGCTAATAAAACATTCAAAACGAAACTAATGAAATACAAACGGAAGTTAGGTCTAATTTTAATTAGACTGATAATTAATAATTGATAATTGATAATTAAATAAATATAAAAATATGAGCTGTGAAAGCTTCAGGTTGGGTCGAGCTTACCACTGACAGAATCTAACTGTATCTGGATTTCCAACTAGGAGAATCTATAGTCTATACAAGGGCTTAAAAGTCGTGATTGCCATTAGTTACCCAGTGGCAAGATTCAGATCGCACAGTCCCCATGATGCCCTCACTACGTTAAAGTAATGAAAAACGTTCTGTACAATTATGTTTCCAGCCGAACGCAGCAGGCAGAAAGGTTGTAGAACTTTTGAAGAAAACCTGGAGGACAAACGAGTCACATGACATCAAACATGGCGGAGTTGTTAATATCCGGGCATTTAAAGGATCTTACAAGCTATTGGTCCATCACAATAACCACATGATACATGCAGAAAATTTTGAAGTTGGTGCCCATGGTAACAATTTAAAAATAAACCTATCTGGTACCGGTAAGTGGAGATAACTCCAAATTAACAGTTTGAGTAGTATTTAAACTCACGAGAGGCCGATTTTCCCTTCGAGTTAGTATAGAATCACTCGGCTAACCGTAGGTGATTCACAATAAACATGGTTCCAAATATGTTCTTTGAAATAGACTTGTGTATATAATGATCTATGATAAATGTAGAGTATTTTGACCCAAAGAAATTTGATCGGCATTATACAACCCGGTCGAAATCTTGTCTCCAACTACCGAGAGTTGCCGATCGTCTTATTTGTTTTGCCTGATCTAACAATGTTTATTATTGTGATGTTACTTTTTCAGGATCGAAATCGAAAGTAGACAATGTTCTTATAGGTAAATAAAATAGTTTTTGAAATTTTCTAGTGTGTTTAATTAAAGTGCCAGTCATATGGACTCACTCCACTAATTCATTTGCCATCTCTTCCCATGTTAAAACACGAAATTCAACCTTCTATAACTTTTTCCAGAAATCTCGTTGAAAGCTTTCCAATATGTCGAATGAAAGCCTGACCAATTCTCAATGTCTCCTAAAAAATTCATTATATGATGACCATGAAAATTTTGAGCTACTAAAATTGAAAGTAGACTACTACCGGTTATACTCATCCGCTAGAGTTTGGCACTTCACAAAACGACTATTTTTAGAATTAGCCTTCCGCCTTTAAGTCTCTCATCATCTCACCAAATCTGAAAGATAATGCAATTTCAGACATCAAATTCCAAATCTAGACCAAATTTTACCCAAAAATAGGCAGGCAAAAACCCCAAAAGGGAGAGAGAAAGAAGATTTCTAAAAATAGCCTGGACTATCATTTGCATAAAATGTTTTAGTGGAGTGAGTCCTATATTATGTATCTAAAAATAACTAGGTTTTTCCCCACATTCTATTATAAATAGTATGTTTTTCTCATCGACGACTTTTAGTATGTTTACGCACATACGGAGAAAATTTACTGTGAGGTAAGACATCAAATTTTCTTGGAAATTCCCAAGTTATAATGTTTCTTATAAGTATATCGTGCTTAAAATGACTTGTCTTGTATCGTGTCTTATTAAGTCGGTATTGACGTCGCCATATTTGACTGGCTGTACAGTGATAGTTATATAGAGATATTTGTAGTTAAGTTAAGTGTAGTGAACGAAAGTGAGACATTGTACTATATTATCAACGTATTATAATATAGTTTAGCTGTAGCATACAACGTATTACATTTACAGCAGACATTTTGATTTTTAATATTTTAAACATGGTAACACTTTATGATGATATGATCGTCAAATCTCAAGTTCAAATATTCTACGCTTCAATGATTTTGTTTATAACGACAGCCATTGTTTATAATCATTGTTTTATGTTGTTTTATCTATATGGAAAGTATAAGAGGTTGTTACTCGTATAGAAAGGGGGGGGGGGGGGGGGGGGGGGGGTATGGTACAATGAGAGGCGTGTCTCCAATATATTGATGGGAGCCACGGTGGCTCAGTGAGTTAGACGCTTGCTCGCTAAGTTACTTAAGTTTCTTACGAACAAGACAACGGCTTTCGGTCATTTCAAAAATTATATCCGAGGTGGTGAGCAAAAATCACCTGATAGTTCGATCTCATCATGCTTTGATTACGTTGATTAAATTACATTATAATTAGTCAGGTGACAAGTGCATGATATTACCTGTATTATATTAGTAATATATAAGTCAGTAATAATAGTTAGTTATGAATACATATTATCAATCAAAAACTTTGAAACTTTGAAACAGCATGATATGATATAACATGATATATTGTTTGCATATAATATCATAATTATATCCTTAATATAAAAAAAATATGGAAAAATATTCGTCTATGCCGAGGGTAACAATTGTTCTGTACCACCCAATATACATTGTACAGAATATATAATGCAATACATATTCATATGGTAATACTAATTCAAGATTGAAATTATGTGATGCGAATAACTACATAAATTATCATAAGATAACGGGCATCCAAAAAAACAATTAGTTTAAATTTACAATGTCGGTTTGAACATATGATATAAGGGATCGAATACTTTTAGACTGACACCATATTAGGAGTGACTAATATTTCTGATTTTAAGACAGGAGTAGTGACGTCATCACTGTTATACGCGATTCAAACATTCAATTGGGGCCAACCCATTAAAGTATTAAATTAGAATATTCTTTAAGATATTATTGTTGTCTACGGTGTATTTTTTGCATAATTTGAAAGCCATTAAAAGCCTACTCATAGCAGTATTAAAGTGGTAGGAGGTGAGGGATGAATTGTGGTATTGTTGCAAATCTAAGTCAAAACGCAATAGTGGAAAATAGTAAGTCGCAAGTGGGGGCTGCCTTATTCAGTGAATAATTCTCACTTGACACAATGTCTGTTTTCCGTGGCTAGACTGCTCTGTATAGTCTGTATTACTATTCATTGTACCCCGAAATAAATTGGACTCTTCGTATATCTACTAGTCAAATGTAACCGAATGTGCACACGATTCTATATTCGACTATAGCAATGTTTAGACTTTCAAATCCCTCGATGAAAGATGAAATTGAACGTCAGTGTCCGATCGTTAGCGCGAAGACTATAAGCCACTTGCGTAATTGCAAAACAAATCGCTTATGTCATGGATAATTTGAAAATCGCTAAATGGAACATAAAGAACATGAAATAGATGATACAAATATACTGTGTTTTACATTGCTTACATAAATATACAGACAGACAAGTACACAAAAAACGACAAATATAGTTCGAAACAACACAGAAATGTATGTCAGCTTCTAAAACAAGTTATCTTTATAATGCATCAGTCTGACAAAAGATTTAAATTTAGAAATAGTAGGCTTATTGTTTGTGTCAATTTAAATTAAAATCTACATAATATAATATGTACTATATGTTTAATAGATGTTATATTTCAATTGTGTCGTCATATAGATTCCTGTAGAATTTCAAGGGGCGTAATAGAAGGAAGTTGTGTCAAGGGAGATAACTCTTAATGATATTTTTCCAATTGTTTGCGTAAAGGTAGGCAATTGGATTATCTATCTTGCTCTCAGGTAAGATATATTCACCATCTAGGTTGCTATAGGGTAGGTTATATAGGAAAGGTTATAGCGTTAGCGAGGTTGCTAAATTGTTTGATATAGGTTCATCCAGACTGCTATACGATAGGATATACGTTCATCCAGAATGCTATACGATAGGATATAGGTTCATCCAGACAGCTATACGATAGGATATAAGTTCATCCAGACTGCTATACGATAGGATATAGGTTCATCCAGACAGCTATACGATAGGATATAGGTTCATCCAGACTGCTATACGATAGGATATAAGTTCATCCAGACAGCTATACGATAGGATATAGGTTTTTCTGTGAGCTAATGAAGACGGGCAATGCCATGTAGGATACAATGAGGGAAAGTTTGCTAGAACAGTGACATTAGTGTACTCTTTTTACATGTCCAGCTGCCGAGGGATCTTTTATGTGCACAGCCAGTTGCACACGGGGCCTCGGTTTATTGTCCGAATGACTTGAATACAGATGGCTAAATACAGTTTACATGGATCTACTTTACACAATATTCACCTATTGTTAATTCTAGTTCGTTTCTCTTATCTTGAAAGTATTGAACACATCTGGTTGGTTGACGAGAATATTTGTATTGATTATTTTATGAAAACTGCAGTACATTCACATTCACAACGTCTGTGGATTTCCCATCCAAGTAGGTTGAGTTAGGGTCGAATCGTGCTGGCAGTAGTATGTATCTTATCTAAATTAGAATAGTTCGTGATACTTCTTAGCATGTGGAGAAGATTAATGTTTCTGAAAACTGGAAATTCCGAATCTAAGACTGATTATCAATAATTGATAATCTATAGGAAAGCATGAGTGAAGGGATGTTGTGGTCGTAGTTGAGGGGTTCAGACAACCTATTTTCCTGACACCTGTAGGATTGCTTTTGTACTGATCTTACTTCCAAAATTTTGTGAGATTCTTTATGTTCACACGAAGGCTAGATTACAAATGACATGAAGTGTTACATCCTTCATTCACGATCCTGATTGGGCTAATTGAGGCGGATCTATAAGGTTAAGTTTGAGGGGGGCAGGTGCGCTATCCTACGTTACGTGACCACATGTCAATGCACAACAACCAACTAGAACCAGCGGTTTCACAGAATTTTGGCTTGTCCGGCTTTGACCCCTCGAGTTTCAAATTTCTTATCATTAAGTTTTTAAATGACTGGTATTCTATTCCCCCTTTGACAATTCTGTGCATAATGGCCTAGAACATGTGTTGCATAAAAATTTCGGCAGATCATACATCTGAAGTAGATTCATTTTAATCAAAAACACGAAACGAAAGATCTAGATTTATGTTGAAATCAGGTCGTTATTAACATTGATTTGGCAATTATTTCTCTAGCTGTATTATTATAGACGATTGCATAAATGTTACTGGCAATGGATGGCAATTTTCCTAATCGTTCGTATACTGGATCAAATATGTTACCCAATATTTTGGCAATTATATTTTATTCAAAGATTACCATACGTAAACTGTAAAAAATTGTTAGGTTGCCATTAATCGAACGTGAAATTAAGTGGACCACACAGGGCGTGGGTTAGTTGTTCTACAAATATAACAATTTACATTCAGATATTGTGAAAGGGGATGTATAAATCAGGGTGGGTTTTATATCCCAACCGCCCCAACCTCTGAACAAAATGTGCCCTAAAAGTAATATTGTTCATTTTAATGATCGCAGATTTCATACTACGAAACGAAACTTTTTCAATTTGGCAACGTCAATAATATGGAATCACAAATTTTTAAAAATGAAACGAAAGAAATAAATATTTCCCTTCATCCTATAATTTATCTGGCTTCATTATTGACAATTTTAAAATGTATATAATTAGTCAGACGAGGAAATATCAGTTGTGCTCGAGAACAAAGACTGGCT